CAGTCACAAAAGGACAAATATTGTATTAGTCCGTTATTGTAAAAGTTAAGGAAATGTTTATATATTGGAGGACATTTTCTTTGTTGGTTACCAGGGGTGGGAGGGAAGGGGAGGGAATGCTGTTAGATAGATAGAGATAAATATTGATTTGGGTGAAGAGAAGGGCAATGTACCAAATGTGAGTGACCAATATAGCAGCATTGAGGATGAGAAAGACAGAGAGAGTTACATTGGCAGTACAAACAACAAATATGAACCCCTTTGCAAATACAATACTGAGTTGTTAATGAAAGCAAACATGGGTATAGGGACGGATAGATGGGTGAACAAGCTAAACAATTATGTATGTCTAAATGGAGAGTGTATCCAAGATCATATACAGGGTTGGTAGACAATGGGCCTCTCAGGGTGCAGAAGAGTATGAAGGGATGGACACTGGGAGGAGGTAACTATGGGGAGGAAGTGGGAGGGGAGCTGCTGCATTGTAAATTTTGGTCAATGACATGAGACAAAGTATATGTGAACTGCTGTATGAAAAGTGAATTTACTCTGTAAATCTTCACCCAAATCCTAATTTAAAAAAAAAATGAAAAAAATAAATAAATAAATCACCAGCATTGCAAGAAGAGATTCTGATAACTATTTGAGGGTAGACTTCACATACCCAACAGAAGTCTGGATAAAGCTTGACAAATCTTTTCTGCTATTATTTGCCCTTTATGGAACACACCCTGCCACATACAGCATTGTATCTCTCATAGCTTTCACTAACATTTGCTCTTTTACCAACTTTAAGTCTGAAAGGGCTTGACATCCTAAGTGGAGAAATGAGGTACCAGCTACTGTGCTCTGTAGAGAGGAGTAGCTGTTCTGAAGTAGCTGGCTTTCTGTGTCTTGGGGCCTTTTGAGACTTAGGTTCTTAAAGACTACTCAACATACTTTTTGTTGAATGTATTATAAGCTTTTGAATTTGGTAACCTGGTGGGAAATGTATTTGATAAAAGGAAGCATTCAGCGGCAAATTTAGGTGTGCCAGTATTATGTTGCTACATTCTTTATGTTTAATTCTCTCATAAATGCAAAGTAAGTAGTAATATCTCAATTTTGCATATAAGGAAACTGAAAGTGAGTTAACTTGCTTGAGGCTGCAAAGCAAATTTATAGCAAAACAAGGATTTGAAGGATAGTCTGACCTAGCTTCGTAAGGGTGATTTGGGACCAGCCTGAACTAAATTAAAATTATTGTATTAATGTTTACTTTCAATAAAATATCCACAAGAATAGATTTTAGTTTCTGATGTAATTGTTATGCTTTGTTCTAATACTAGGCGGGGATGTTAGCACCAGGTACCAGAAGAGACATCTATGATCAGAAGCTAACATTACAACCAGTGGACAACTCGACAATTTCTCTACAGATGGGTACCAACAAAGTTGCTTCCCAGAAAGGAATGAGCGTGTATGGGCTTGGGCGGCAAGTATATGATCCCAAATACTGTGCTGCCCCCACAGAACCTGTCATTCACAATGGAAGCCAAGGAACAGGAACAAATGGGTCGGAAATCAGTGATAGTGATTATCAGGCAGAGTACCCAGATGAATATCATGGCGAGTACCAAGATGACTATCCCAGAGATTACCAATATGGCGACCAAGGCATTGATTATTAGATTCACACAGAGGAGCTCAGTATTTAGTCCATTGTTTTTATTCCGTGAGAACCAAGCTAGCCTTGAGTAATTTTTATCTTGTCTTCCTAAAACACTATTATGCTTATTATACCTAAAAGAAATATTGCCTTACATACATTCCTTTTTCCTTTTTCTGCCTCTTCCCTAAATAGTTGCCTTTTAGTGCTGTAACAGTTAAATCCTACAGCATAACCAATAACTCATGTATGACGTAAAAAGGAATACTGTGAAAGGGGAGTACTCTTGTACAGCCAGTTCTTTTATTAAAGATCTATGCATTTTTACAATCTTCTACTTAAACTGGTATTTTCAAAGAATAGAATTTTTTTTTTACCGTTTAGTATCTGGTTTCTACATGGAAGACTAAACTCATGCTTATAGCTAAATGTGGTCTTTGCCAACTAAATCTGAGATTTTAGAAATTTACATATCAATGTTTCTATAGTATTGTTTGCTAATTTTTAAATAAAGTCATGATCAGTGTGCATTTGTGATGATATGTGTACTCATTCTCTTACCTTTGCTGACAGATCTTTTCAGAGTGGGGTTTCTTACGGAGCGTGTACAAAATCGGCCTACAGGCATTTAGGTCTGGGGGTGCATTTGCTCTTCCTGTTTGTGCCAATGTATCAATATAGAATTGCTCTGTTTCCTACACTGTATTTATTGCTGCATTTCTCAGCATAAACTTATCCCATTGTATTTTTTATAAATAAATATTTTTTTTGAACATTCATATGAACCACAGGCTGATTATTTTATGGCTAACTTCCAGATAGGTACATTCAGATTTTAAAAAATTTTTAAAAGGTACTCATCCCCAGGTACTTAATTTTATTTGATCCTGACAACACCCCTGTTCTATGCTTGAGGAAACTGAGGCTTAGAAAAGTGAAGGAATTTGTCCATTCCACGTAGTAAAGACAGCCAGGATTCAGACTATCATCTGAACCTTGTTTTTTCCACTGTGACTCTGCTACACTAAATTCACCTTAAATACAACTTAGAATAAGTTTGAAATCATCTTTAGGAATACTGGCTTTTGTAGTCATTTCTAGTGTGAATGAATGTCTAATAAACCTACTGAGTTAGGAATAGGGTGTGCTATGTATGATAATAAACTAGGGCATGCAGTTATGAAGTGTCAACAAAACCTAACCTTCAGTTAGGACATAGAAAAGGTTAGGCAAATAACAGGTAAGTGTTGTAACTTCAAAAGTCTGGTCACAAAGAGGAAATTAATAACTCACTTTCTGACACTTTCTCAGTCGAGTGATTTTTTATGATTGGATTGGCTCTACTAGGCCATGGATGGGAGTGAAAATATGCTGGTTGCCAAGGCAGATAGCGAGGACATACATAGGGTCTGATGAACGCACAAAAGCTCTACTTGTTCATCATTCGACGGTGACTAAACTTAGGCCGACTCATTGCAACCTGTGTATAACAGAACAAAAGTTTGGTTTTTTGTGTGTGCAGTTCTGTGCCATCATCATAATCCTTGTTGTGTTTGAGTTCATTGTTATAGCCACAGTGTCAGTCCATCTTGTTGAGGGCCTTCCTCTTTTCATTGACCATCTACCAAACAGTATGTCCTTCTCCAGGGACTAATCCCTCCTAATGCTATCCAAAATCTGTGAAGTCTCGCCATCCTCACTTTCCCCCCTCACACACACACACAGTGTAACAGCTCTCTTCCCACTTCCCACTGTAGTTAACTCTTCCCTGTGTCCTTCTTTCTTATGTATTCCTGCCCCCTCAAACTATCTTCCTGTGCAATACTGCCCTTCTGTTCTCCCATGATTGATGGTTCTAAGGAGTGTATTTACCTCATGTAAATGTTCACTCTATGCTTGTCTATTGTTTGGCTGGAAGCCATGAGAGTAAAACCTGAAGGGTAACTAGGGGTCATAGTCTCAGGGGTCTCACCAGGCTCTATTAGACCAGTAAACCTGGTCTTTTTTTATGATTTTGAGTTTTGTTTACATTGTTCTCCCACTCTATCTAGGATCTTCTACACTCATCCCTTTCTGAGTGATTGTTGCCATTCTCACTTCCAAGGGGCATTCTGGCTGTCCTTCCTCCAAGACGCATTTGTCTCTGGTGTATTCAGTATCCTTTGCTAACACCATAGTTCAAATGCATCAATTATTTGGTCTTCCTTATTCATGGTCCATCTTTCACATGCATATGAGGTGACTGAATATACCATGGGTTGGGTCAGGCATACTGATTTTGTGAAACCTGCTTTGTTAATCCCTTTCCTAACACTACAGGAGCTAAATTTTGATTGCATGGCACTGTTTAAGAAAAATGTTCTTGTTTTTACATTTGTTAAAGGTAGACTTGAGCTGGCACACTATTTCCAGTATCTTCTTGGAAGGGTGGCTTATGGCAGTCATATCTGACAGTATTTGCTCTGCAGATAAGCCAAGTGGATCCTCCAGTTGGTTGCTGCCTGCCATCCAACCAGCCCCAACTCATGGCAACCCCCTACACAATGGGATAGGGCGTCGTGATCCATAGGGTTTCTAGTTAGGTACAGGTGTAATTCTGTCTACCTTTCCATCTAACTGGGAAGTGCTGACAATTAATACATTAAATGTTTCTCTTTGTTTAAAACTTTTAAAAGGAAAAGCCCCAATCAGGAGACCTGTCCCTAGCATCTGAATCTATATATCTGGGGAGAGAGTCCACCCTCAAGTATTTTAAAAAATCTTTCTCCAGGCACTCTTCATAACGGGCTATGTGGTTGTGTGGTGGCCTAGTGCTTTTAACAAAGTCAGTCATAACTGGTTAAACTTCTGCCTCCATTTTATATTATGCCCAGTTTAGATGGTAGTTTTGGTTAGACTTCAGACTTAATCATTTTTCTTGTCACTAAATCTAAGGATTGTACTTTGAAAAGTGAATGGCTAAATTAGTGTGAAAATTGAAGTACTTGTATTTCCAGGATTGGATGAGTAAAGTTCTGCTGGGTTCTAGAGCAACATCCTAGAGCTTTTTGCTAATCAAAAAAAGGTTTGTTTGTGGGTTGTGAGTGGTGGAGCATTCTGTTTGTTGGTGCTCTGAAATAAGCTATATGCTGTGGTTTTTATTTTTTTTTTCATTGATCCATATATTAAGAGTTTTTCTGTCCCAGTTGGTACAAAAAAAGGTTGTAAAGTTGTATCGCTCAGTACTGTAACACAGTCAGACAATAATGACAGAAACAATGAGGAAGAATAGGTCTGCCAGGCCTTATCATTTATTCTGTAAATGGCTCTTAGAAGAAGGAAACATTTCCAGGTACAAATATCTAATGGGCGACTATTGCACAGTGGGCCGGAGTTCTGTTCCTTCTTCATTCCTTAATGAGTTCTCATCTTTTTGTGCTCTTGCATCACTTAGCTTGTTGATCCTTTTTACAAAACTCTGAAACAACAAAAGAATGAATTAGGCCAGTGTTAGGTGTCCACATTGCTGGCAACCATTTACTAGGAGTCCTTGGCCATATCATGTCAGGGAATTAGATCCTTAAAAAAGTTGTCCTTGCTGAATCAAAACATTTGGGGTGGGCAGATTTCAAAGTGGGCTTTTAACCAGAAAAATAAAAATCAGAGAAAGCTGACCCAGTTAGCTTCCTGCCACCATTAAAAGGTTTTCTCTAGTGGTCCGTACAAGTAAGTCAAATTACTAGTGCATTTTTTTATGTTTTATATGGAGAAAGATGAGGGCCAATTTAATTAGAAAACTACAGAAGTGCTTGTTAAAGCTTGCTGCCTGACTGAAGAGTACTTAGATCTTCTGTTTAAAGCAAAAGGGATCTGACACCCAAGTTTTATGCAACAGAATGAAAGAATATTATAAATTGACCCTTCACCCAGACAATGCGAAGAGATGGGACATCATTCAGCTGTTAAAATATTCCTGTCTGCATAGGATAAGGCAAATAACCAACTGTTGCAAATGTTGTTGGAAACAGCTGTCTGCTAGTTCCAGATACAAGCAGTGTGGGGGCTCTGTTGAGGGTGTGGCTTTTCTGACATTGGGGGTGTCTTGGTTCAAAAAGGGCCCAAGAATTGCCCAGCTGTCAGTACTAGCACAGAAGGGCAAAGTACCTGATGAGTCTACATTGGCGTGTGCTGTACCTAAAATACCAGGGGTGTGACATGATGCTTGAGAGTGCAATAATGCTTTAGAAAAAGATTATTAAACTTCCAGACTACCCAGAAGGCCAAATAAAGCCATTAATGCCAAAGGGATTTGGATTGCTACTGTGTCTGGCGCTTGTTCTGAAGTGAGCTGCCTTTGTGACTCATGGGGACCCTGTGCACAACAGAAGGAAACCCTGCCTTGTCCTTTGTTGCAGACTGGACCATATGCTCCGTAGGGTTCCCACTGCCTGGTTTTCGTAAGTAGATGCCAGCCCTTTCTTCCTAGTCTATTTTTAGACTGGAAACATTGCCGTAGCCTGTTCTTCATCACGACCAGACGTTAAGCCTCCACTGACAGATGGTGGCTGCACATGGAGGGCATTGGCAGAGAACTGAACCAGGGCTCCCACACGGGAGGCCACAGTTCTCCCACTCAGCCACCATTGCTGTCGGCACAGGTGGCGCTCAGTAGGTGCTGCTCCTACTGAGGAGTCTACCTGATGGGTATGCATTCTGTTCAGCTACACTTCTCTCCAGGTTTCAGACAGAGGTAGTCTCACCCTCAGGAAACTCAGCCCCAATCTCACTCTTGGCACTTTCAGACCACGTGGTAGTGAGAATCCACGGAAAAAATGAGGCTGAGTAGGAGCCTTCGTAAAGGTGCCTGGGTGGCACAAGCAGTTTGTGATGGACTGCTAACCAAAAGGTTGGTGGTTTGAACCCACCCAGCGGCTCTGGGAAGAAAAGACCTGGCGATCTGCTTCTCTTAAGATTATAGTCAAGAAAACCCTATGGAGCAGATCTCCTCCAACACTTGGAGTCGCCATGCATTGGGGACCCTGCTTGATGGCAGCTAACAGCCACCACTATCATCACCAGACTCTTTTTTAAAAAAAAAAAAAAAACTTTATTGTGGGTTGTGTGAAAGTTTGTAGAGAAAATGTTTTCTATTCAATAGTTGGATACACATTTTCTTTCATGACATTAGTTGCAGTCCCCTCGATATAATGGCACTCTTCCTGCTTCCCCCCTGGATCCCCAGTTTCCATTGGTCCTTTCGTGCCTTCTGAACTTTGTTTTTTTGGCAAATGCTGTCCTTTCAGTCACCTATGGTTGATACCAGCCTCCTTTTTGTGTGAGTCTTCAACACTTGAGATTGCCAGGAGAGAGATGGTAACAGGAAATGAAAAACATGTGCTTACCAAAAACTCTTGGTCCATAAAATAGGGCTTTTCGGATGATCCATCATTTGTTTCCAGGTCAACAACAAAACACAGGAAAAGGGTATCCAACACAGTTTCAAACACAGATAAAAAACTATGGGCTGTGAAGTAGGCAAAAAAAGCCACCAGCAACAGAGGAATTGTCCACACCTGGAGTGCACGGTTGTAGTTAAATGCCATCAGTCCTCCAAAAACAGTGAAACACACCACCAACACCTGCCCAAAACAAGAGTTTGTTAGAAATTCTAGTTAGATTATTTCAGAAACAATTTTTGTCAGTTATAAGAAATAATTTCATCTATGTGCGTGTGTGTGTGCCCTACTAGAAGAATGTACTTCATAGAAAATTTGGTACAGTGAAGTAGAAGAAAAAAATTGAACAGTATATCAAATGAAAACAGTTAATTTGGGAAGGGGGAATCAGCAACTGGTTTGGATTTCTTTTTAGGCATGTACTTTCATTTTATCTGTGCGCAGCTTTTACATTTATGTAGATACAATAACATTTTTCGGGAGCTCTGGTAGTGTAGTGCCTAAGGCACTTAACTGCTAACCAGAAGACTGGCGGTTCAAACCCACCAGCCACTCCTCGGAAGGCAGATGGGGCAATCTACTTGCGTAGTGATACTGCCTCGGAAACCCAAGGAGGGGTCGCTATGAGTTGGGTCTGACTCGATGGCACATAACAACAACAATAACATTTTTCATTTTTCTGTTTGTTCACTTAATGTCACAATAAGCATTTCCACTGAAAAATACTTTTATAAACATCACTTCTTACAACAGCACATTAATCCATTGAGGAGATATGCTGTAGTTTAATAGGTGATAATTTTTTCTCGGGGGATGAAAGTGGAAGGGCTTTCTAATGCTGGTGTGGGGAGATAACGAGATTACTCCAGACTTTTGCTATGTGTGATTATGATATTACCAGGAACATGAGTATAATTATAATGTTTCTAATTCTTTAGCAGACATAATGGAGTCCAACTGGGTGGACTTCATTGTCCCTAGATGGCCACAAAGATAGGTATGGAGGTCTGAAAGCTACTTCATTCAAAAAACCAAAAAATCACTAGTTAGTGCATGCTTATTAGAAGCTTATTAGCAACTGCATGGTCCTTAAGGGAATATAGGAAAATAAATTACTACCTAAAATAAAATAAAAATTAAATCTTATAAAACAGACCTCATTCTAAAGATTTTGGAAATAGCTAGAAGAAAACAGATCGCGTATCAAGCTAGCATGAGTAATGATATCCATTTAAATACTTACATGATTTAAGCTTTTTTGAAAGGCATAATCGTTTTGTACTTCTAGAGCTACTGTCATATGAAAAATCTCTGGGGCCAGCTGAGAGATCAAATACATGTGCAATTAGTACACACCTGTGAAATTCAAGTATGTTATAACTTGTTACAGCTAACTATGATAGTAATGTACTAGAAGCATACACCAAATACTACAGGAGAAGAAAATCCTTAACAAGGAGCCAAGAGTCCTCTATCTCTGGCCTTTACCAGGTCACAACCGCAGACCAAGATCTTGTTCACTATTAGGCACCACTGAAATCTCCTGGTATTAATGTCACATATGTAGGAATGGTGGTTGATAGATATGAGGATATTTAGCATGGAATAGAGAAGACCTGGTGGGAAAGTCAGGATATCTGTAGTCAACATATGAAAGGCACTCAAGTTGGATGTGGGACCAGACAAACCCAGAGGTGCATAATTAGGCCCAGTGGGCAATAATTTCAAGGAAGGAGATACACTGTATGGTGTATTACAAAGAACTGTCTACCTTGACTCATGGTCAAGTAGGGGCGGGGAAGGGTCTGGTGCACCACTTTCATAAACATTTCAGTTAGTCTTCCCTATCTTTATTTTACAGACATGAAAACTGAGGTTTGGGTTTGTTAAAGATTGCGAGTTCAGGGCTGTGCCCTTCACATCGTGAGATGTTGCTGGGCAGGTTACCTCTAGCTATAAGATGCTCCTCCACTCCAGAAAATTAGAATTTCTTTTTAAAAAATCATCCTATGATAGTAGAAATATAACTTTGGCTCCATTTAGGACATGAATATGATAGTAGAAATATAACTTTGGCTCCATTTAGGACATGAATATGATAGTAGAAATGTAACTTTGGCTCCATTTAGGACATGAATAAGTCTACCTTATTTATGGACTTAATGCCCTTAAATAATGTACAAATTTTATCAAGTTTCAATACTTATTTCCATATATTTGCTCTGGTGGCATAGTGCCTAAGGCATTTGACTGCTAACCAGAAGGATCGTGGTTCAAACCCACCAGCCACTCCTTGGAAGGAAGACTGGGCAATCTACTTCTGTAGTGATCCTGTCTCGGAAACCCAAGGAGGGGTCGCTATGAGTTGAATCGACTCAACAGCAGTGAGTTGTCTTTTTTTAAAAAAAAAAATCGCAAAACTCATCCATTTTCTGTAGTTGATAGTATATTTTAGACATGAATCAGAACTGTGTAGAGAGGATCGATCATGGATGACAGAGTAAGACTAGGATTCTAATCCTGGCTCCACCTATTGTGGGATGTTATTGTGTTGTTGTTGTTGTTATGTGCCGTGGAGTCAGACCCGACTCATAGCGACCCCTCCTTGGGTTTCCAAGGCCAGGCCGTATCACTATGGAAGTAGATTGCCCAACCTTCCCAGGAGTGGCTGGTGGCAAGTTATTAAACCTTAGTTTCCTCATCTGCAAAATAAGGATATCTCACGGGATTGGAGATTTAATGAGATTATGTAGCATAGCATCTACCATAGAGTAAACATTCAAAGAAATACTAGTTCCCTTTCAAAGTCCTGTTACTTTTTGGTTCCCATCTTCCTTTATTATGTTAGTGAAGGCATCTCACCTTTCCTAGAAAAATTATGAAGTCTCCAAAGCAGTTAATGGATGTGAAATGACTTGAATTCTTGGATAGCATTTTGAGTGCATCTTTTGCTGATGTGCAAAAATCGGTACCATTAATGGCAGTCGTAGTATATGCATTCTGAAACAAAAAACAGTAGTTAAAAAGGTGGTGATTCTTATTTTAAAGATAATATGACAATACATAATATTTACAAAATAGAGAAAAATAGCTAAATCTACCATTTCTACCCATAACAAATCATTTCATTTTCATTGTCCCTTCTTGTGGTTGTATGCACATGTATTTTCATATGGTAAATGGAAAAGATAAGTAAGTACTTCTGGTCAATATAGTAGATTGAATGTTCTACTACAAAGATATGGAAATGATACATAAAGGATTAATTATTATTTTAAAAACTAGTTTAGTTTATTGTGGCTGAGAATATACACAGCTGAACATATATACCAAACAGCAATTCAGGAATTTCTAAATGTACAATTCAGTGACAGTGATTATATTCTTTGAGTTGTGCAACCATTCTCACCCTCTTTTGCATAATTGTTTTAAGGCACAGCAGTTTGAGGGCAGGAAAGGAAGTCTAAGTTCCAAGCAGACCTTAGTGATTAGCCAGAGCTGAACCCAAAAAGTACAAAGGGCATGGAATTAGTCAAGGCTGTAGGGGCTGGGAGTGGGTGATTTAACCTTTTAGAGATAAGATACAGTGCTCTGGCTACTGCTAAGTAGAGAACTGGAACTGAGTTCCCTGCACAAATTCGGGGTTCAAAATTCAAACTCAACCAACCATCCCTGGGATACAATGAAGAAATGCACCAATCTGCCTGGGTTCAGGAGTAGATAAAGAGGTACTCTGAGCAATCAGAACCCTGACCTTGAGCCAGGAAGAAATTCATTTTACCTGATGATATGGGAAGCCAGACAGTCCCAGGGTGGTGCAATAGGAAACCTACACTGCTAGCTGAAAGGTTGGGGGTTCAAGTCCATCCAAGGGTGCCTCAGAAGAAAGGTTTGGCAATCTACCTTGAAAAATCAGTCACTGAAAACCCTGTGGAGCACAGTTTTACTCTGATAGACCCGGGGCCATCAGGAGTTGGAGTCTACTCATGGCACTGGGCTGGAAAATATACCCCCAAGGCAATTAACATAAACATTGGTCAGGGATCATCAAAACTACCAGGCTTTGAGCAGAGGAAAAGCAAATCCACATCTCACCAACCAGGGGATGGTGAAGTCCCACAGAGAACAAATGAGTGAAGGAAATGAACTGTGCAACAAGCCGGAGAATCTGTGTTCTAAGAACAATCTAAAAGTATTGAAAGAAGTATGTTTAAGATGCTAAGGAGCTAATGAAAGGAATAGTGGCCATAAGACAAGAACAGGATGGTATGAAAATGAAGAGGCATAGTAGAAAGCAAACCAAACAAATTCGATAAATGAAAAATATATAATTGAAATGGTATGATCAGTACTTTTATTATTATATATCTGGCTTTCCTTTATATTATATAATAAACATATTCATGTTGCTACATGTCTTTTATAATTTTAGTTTTTAAATAAATACATATTCCATCAGGTGTGTGTGTGTAGCTGTGGCATATTTAGACATTTCAAATATTTTGCCATTATAAATAACTATAATACAGTTGTTATAGCTATTTTTAATTATATTATAAATAACAATATCTCACTACTGTTGAGTCAATTTTGACTCATAGCGACCCTTCCTTGGGTTTCTGAGGCAGTATCTCTATGGAAATAGATTGCCCAATCTTCCTTCCAAGGAGTGACTGGTGGGTTTGAACTGCCAGCCTTCTGGTTAGCAGTCAAATGCCTTAGGTACTACGCCTATAAAGATGTAATAAACATCTGAGTTTCCTGATCTTGTAAAACTTCTTAAGAATAAATTTCTAGAAATGGGATTACTAATCAAAGAGAGTGTGCATGTGTGTGTGTATTTTTGTCCACATGAGAAGATTTCAAAATTCCTTCCCCTTATGACTGACTAAAACCACCTATTTTCTTTGAAATCTTGAAAAATGCCTGTGGTGGTTACGTTTGTGTGTTAACTTGGCTGGGCCTGGTTGAGTGGCTGGGCAGGTGAATGTAGTTATTCCCCATGGTGAGATTGGTAATTAACTCCATGGTGGAATCTATTGGAGCAGCTGAGTAGTTGCTTTGGGTATGTGGTCTGCTTCCACATATATAAGAAACAGCTTTGGGAATGGTCTCTAGCTTATGGCATCTCTAGCTTATGAACCCTGCATGTAGCCATGTTGTTGTTCAACAGCCTGCCGTGCTCTGCCCACCTTGGAACTTGCAATGGATGTGAATTAAAGGCCTGCCGTGTGGTTTGGTAACATTGAGACTGTGTCATTTTATTTATCAATGTTGGGTTTGTCAGTCTCTGCAGCCAGCAGCTGTCTGAGTGAAGAAAATCCTCCAGCTTCAGTGGGCCAGGAGCAGGAGGCAGAACTGAAGCCCAAGGCTGAGGGGCTTTCACCCAGCTCCTAGAGCCTGGCACTTTGAACTCAGACTTAAAGCCTCCAAACTGTAAGAGAAAAAACTCCTGTTGGTTCAAGCCATCCCATTTGTAGTATATTCCTGTCAGAGCGGCACTAGGTAATCAAAACAATGCCAATTGCACTGCAGTTTATGACAAAATATTTATAATGTTTTGGGGAAATACACTAGAAACTAGTGATACCTGCTTGGATTGTCACCATTCTTCATTTTGATGAAAATAACCACGCTTTTGGCTTGGATAAAGGATGAAAGTTCAACGTTTCAGGAACATGACCCATTACTTATTTATCCCATGAGATATAAATGAATTCCTCCAAACACCCATTCCAAAATATGGGAAGGGAACCCGTTTGGGGTACTGCAGAAATCCAGTCCTCACCTTACAACTTACTTCCAACTACCATGCTTCAGGTCTTAATTAGTACCCAAGGAGAGGGAGTGAGTGAGTATGAGATCAAGGGAATAGAGTTAACTGGGTCAATTGATCAAACTCCGTCTTCACAAAGGCCAACTAGAGAGGGGTGAGTTAGGTTTTCCAAGACAAAGCCTGTCTACCTTTGTCTACCTCCCTGAACAGGGCACCATGCTTGCCTCAGAGGGAACATTCTCAGTCAGATGTCAGATGTTCCTGTAGAAATGCTGTTAGTGTTATTGCAAAAAGAACTTGTGGTTTCTGACTTACATGTGAAATTTGCTTTTACAAATCCCAAACTGACTGGTGATAGAAAGCTGCTCCAGCGCGGGGACTTGAAGTGCAGAGTGTGTGGGGACTCATTTGCTGACATTTAGCTAAGCATCTTCAAACATCCAAGGTTCTCTGAACCCCGATGACCAATTCATTCATCTCAAAATACATATGTGCAGGGTAGTGGGTGAAGAATGGCATAATTGTTCTTCTATAGACAGAGACCAAGATCAAGGGCATTTTCCCCATGTCTCAATGTGAATCAGTGAGGAAGAATTTTTTTTTTTTTTTTTTTTTGGTAATTAAAATTCTAACCTTTTGGATATTACACCACCCATTTCATTAGGACAAAATGCTATTTAAAAGCGTGGTGGTTAAGGCAAGCACAGGCTCTGTAGCCAGACTGTCTGGGTTCAAATCCCAGTTCCACCACTGACCGGCTATCTTGGCAGATGATTTAACCTCTCTAAGATCTCAATTTCCTCATCTATAAAGTGAGTTACAACACCTACAGCAAAGAGATGTTGGGAGGATTAAAGAACATGTTCCCTATAAAGCATTTAGCAAAGGGCTAGACACACAGGAAATGTGCAATAAAGGGCAATTATCATTCAGAAGGAGCTCTGGTGTCTCAGAGGTTAAAGCACTTGGCTGCTAACCAAAAGGTCGGCCGTTTGAACCAACCAGCATCTCTGCAGGAAAAAGATGTGACAGTCTGCTTCTGTAAAGATTTACAGCCTTGGAAACCCTATGGGGCAGTTCCACTCTATTCTGTAGGATTGTTTGGAGTCAGAATTCTACTCCATGGCAGCGGGTTTGGGTTTGGGTATTACTATCTAAACCTCACCAAAGATGATCTCATTTATAACAGGGAAACACAGAAGTAACTCTTGAAGCCCCTGATGAGGTGAGGGAAGGACCCACGAGCTATCTTCAGGCTTCAATCTCTCACTCTCACAGAGATCCAGGAAAGGGCGGGACTTGCTTTTCAGACCCAGGTTCCATCCTCACTGTGGTCCTGCTTTGCTCCATCAGCCACTCAGCCTCTTTCTTTGCTCTTCCTGTCTATTCATTCAGGCTCTGCCCTCAGCCCTTCACACCACCACTTTTCTCCCTCTAAACTGAAGTTCTTAGGAGTCCTTGGGTGGTGCAAATGGTTAAGTACTTGACCACCAAGCAAAAGTTTGGTGGTTCAAACCCACTCAGAGGTGTCTCAGAAGAAAAGCTTGGCAATCTGCTTCTAAAAGGTTACTGCCATCGAAACTTGTGGAACACATTCTGCTCTGACATATATGGGGTCTCTGTGCATCTGAATCCATTCAACTTTATTTATTTATATTTTTGAAATTCATTCAGGCTCTGTCCTCAGCCCATCACACCACCATTTTCCCCTTTAAACTGAAGTTCTTAATGTATTTTCTGATTCATATGGATAGTTCTTTTGGGGACTTCCTCTTCTTGCTGACCCCTGCCACACAGATAATCAATTTAGCACCATCTCTCTTATAAGCAATAAAAATAGATTTTGCTCCTTGGCTAAAATGATTAAAGGTTAAAATGGTAATATCTCATGCATGTGTTGTCTCCACAAGCTTTTTGGGGCTCATAACCATTTACTTTTTCTTTCCTATATCATATCCACTGAAAGAAGGCATTAAAACCACTCTGACAGGGAAATTACATATATGCCTTCCTGTAGTTACTATACCACTAGCATTTTACCACAAGATTCAACCCTGAATGCTATAGACAGACCTAGAATTAATGTCTGAAAGAATAGATGGGGGAGGGAAGAATCAGTCAAGACACAGGATATTGAGTAAAATTTTCTGCAGTTTCAGCAATAGCTAATTTATACTTATTCTGAAGAGAAGTTGTTTCCTTGTCAGGCAGCTGGAAAAAGGAT